GGCTTCTACTGTACTATTTTAGATGCGATTTTTTGTTACGATTAGTCTTCATGAAGTACTTAGGTGTATTAAATTATAACATTTCAGACATTGTTATAAATATTTTTATATATTTCGATTTTTTAACCAAATGTTCGAACCTTTTTAGATTCGAATTTGTTATTGCGTATCGGTTCGATTATAGAACGATTGTAAACGTTCCAGAAAATTGATCAAATTGAAAATTGTTTGTTTGATTCTCGGCAATTCTCATCATTCTCGGCGGTAGGTGTTAAATAACAATTACTATGGTTGTTGAAATACTGAATATAAATGGGGTTTGGTTGCAAAATTTTCGCGGGCGAAGTCGCGGGTAACAGCTAGTTAATTAATATAAATGTTTATAAAAATAGTTTTCACACTTGGAAGGTGTAATATAATTTTCTGCTTTCGCCAATTATTTATTTCATTTGACACTCGTGAATTTTCATTGAAAATACTTTTCATTCTTTTATTTGTAATTGTATTAACGTTACGAAAATAAATAACTTTGAGGATGTGAGAATTTTGTAATTAAAATTCTTTAATTTCATTTGTAAATTTATTCTGAAAAAATCGTAAAAAAGTGTACTTCCGGCATTAATTTTGGTCTCATCGTATTTAAATAATGTAAACTAAGAAACTGATTGTGCAGATGCGAATTACAAACGGTCGAAAGGTTGAGAGCGATATAGTTCTCGCGAAGGAAAACCGTGGAGAAGCGAGAAATCTCGCTGGCGAGAGCCAATTTCTGATTTTGTAGTTATAGTAAGGGTTTATCACATCGAGTGACTAATCTAACACATTAAAAAATTTTTTAAATTGTGTGCCATAGCGCCCAGTATGCATTTAGGAGGCAAAGAGGGACCATAGATGCCTCGATGGACCTCAAGTCCGACATCAAAGATCTACTTTCTGAGCATGCCTACGTGTTTGGATTTAGTCTAGATCAGTGGTTCCCAGGTACCACTTCAAGAAAGAGCTCAAACTCGCGTACCCCTTATAGCAGAAATTCACATTAATCCATACTAATATTATAAATTCGAAGGTAATTCTGCCTGTCTGTCTGTTACCTTTTCACGTCTAAACCGCCGAACAGGTTTTAATAAAATTTGGCACGGAGATAGCTTACACGTTGGAGGATGGGCATAGGCCACATTTTACTGCGAGAAGATATCTTACTTCCACGAGGAAATTCGATATAATGTGAGCGAAGCAGTGGGTAGACAGCTAGTGATAAATAGAATAAGTTTTTTTTTTTACATTTATTACGTTTAAAATACAATTCTAATAATAAAGAAAGTAAGATAAGGTTATTTAATTTTAATGCGACAAAAGTGCACGATTTTCTTTGCAAACTTTGTAAAATGTGGTTGCTTTTTGGTCAGCTTCAGTCTCGAGTCATCTTCGAGTCGAAGTCGGCGACGATGTTTAGTTTTCATTTGCATACACGATAACACGAATAACCCAGGATATCTTCAATTAAAAATTGAATTATGACTTTTTACAAAAATTATTTTTTGTAAATAGTCATAATTTAATGTTTAGTTTTCATGTTTGTCATGGCCGAAAATCCGCTCTCGCAGAGGTATGTTGTGCAAAATGGTAGTAAATATTTTATTGCCGATTCGCTGACACGATGATAATGATAATTGTACAATTAGCACTAATTGTGTTAATTGTACAATTTTTGTTTCTTGCATAAGAATTTCATTTAGGTATTGTCACGAATGCATTTTTTTCTAAGGATGAGATGAACCTTTTACGTTAAATCCTTTCGAGTGAAAATTTAATTTTTCAACCGAAATACGGTCGTCCCTCTTATAGCACTGTTGATTATTCCATTTTATATGAATTCCATATTGTACGAGTCACACGTGAGCCGTTCACAGTCCGGCACACATATTTGTAAAATCTAAGTGACTCGTACAACATCGAATTCATATAAAACGGAATTATCTACAGTGTTATAAGGCAGGGGAGGCCAACAGTTTTTGCCCCGGGCCGAATTGGAAAGAAAACTTTTTCCACAGGTCGAACCAGAGGCTGCCCTAGGAAGAATTTGAGGTGGTGAGAGATCTCATTGTGGTGTCACCCCGTAGAGACTGAATTGTAGATAGAGATTACATATACATTTTTCACATTATCATGCTTTATCAACACTCTACGCTGTACTTACGAGATTTGCAATGGAGGGTTAACTCTAAACGAGATTTGCAATGGAGAGGTTTGCAATGGAGGGTTAACTCTAAACGCACAGTGAGTGGTTGATTTTTGTTTCTTTTTCAGGCGTCAGAATTTTTTAATCGAGTTATTTGGATTTGAGTAGCTAATGGAATTTTAATCATATTATGACTGTTTTGCCGGCTCCACGGGCAATAAACAACTAGCGACTGTCCATATACTCGTACTGTACAATACATTAGTTTTTCTCTGACAAGGGATAACACGAAAATATCATGTGCATCTGCAAAGTGTGGGATTACTGGATGTGTCAGACTGGCGAGTTCGACATGTCCAGTAATACCATACAGAGTATGTAAAAAATGCAGAAGTAATCTTTTCTTCATTTTTTGCAGTAATTAACGTAGTCGATTGTTTTTTACGTTTATATTAAAATATATTACATTGTGTTTATCACGTGAAAGTAAACACAAAATAACATGAGATCGCAATAAATTAAAAATAACTTGTAAATTGTAAGAATAATTTTCTAAATCGAGTCATTTGGATGTTAAGGCTTGCAACTACTATCGGGTGCCTGGTTATCACGATCTGTCCGAGTGATATGATTTATAGTTACTGCGGTAATAAAAAAGAAGAAAGCCTACTAATTCATTTCTTTGCTTCTTGTCAAGTGATACATCGACTGAAATGCTCTGTTTTGGGAGATTTCAAGTACAATCAAGTATATTGTAAAATAAAAAGAAAAGAAATAACTTAAACTTTATAAAAATAATTAAATTTAGTTTATATGAATAACTTCCCTCATTTAAGAACTTTCTTATTACTTCTTGCAAACACTTTTGAAGATTAATTTTATATACAGTTTGAGAAAAACGCTTTCTTTTATCTTGAAATAATCTTAATTTATAGAAGAGTTTGCTGTGATGCTTCTGCTTGCAGTTTCTGTAATGAAAAAATGCGCGTGAGTATTGAAAATTAAATATATTCTTATTTTAAGAAGTATCTCCAAATTTCTTCTCTAATTTTGCATCTGAAAACTAAATAAAATTTAACGTCGTACTGTATCATATGTATCATTGACAGCGTTTTATTTTGAGACCTATTTAGTGAACGCTTTTAATTATATTTCAGCGTATTTTTCTCATTTAGTGATTACTGTGTTTGAAATTATAAAAATAATTTCATTGTTTTCTCTCGAAGGATCGTTCAGCTTACTGCACGTACTGTACCATACATAGGAAGAAACTACACCATGACATTAAAACTAAGAAACAAACATGATAAATCCATGAAACACATTGGTGTCGTGAACATGTGCTTATAGACCATGTTTCTTGTAAAATAGAAAGGATTAAAGATTAATAATTAATTTGGCAAAAAACTTGTTTTTCCTGATTCCAGTTTTTGATAAATAATAAGCCTGAAAATTCTGAAAAATTAAATCTTAAGCTACCTGAAAATACCACGCTCACAACAGAATAAATCACTTTTTTGTATTCTTTCTGAAAATTTGAATAAATTGAGTACCTAACCATTAACAAATTACAGTGTAAATTAAACGGTGTAGCTAATATTTCACAACATATATTTACATATATTGCAGTGTCTCTAGGCTGTATACGTAAATACATACTCTGTATGGGATTACTGGACGCGTCGAACTCGCCAGTCTGACACCTCCAGTAATCGCACACTTTGTAGGGCGGAGCATATGATATTTTCGTGTTATCCCTTGTCAGAGAAAGACTGATGTACAATACGTGTATATGGACAGTCGCTAGTTGTTTATTGCCCGTGGAGCCGGCAAAACAGTCAAAATAATGATTAAAATTTTATTCTTTTCTTATTAATTTAACTTTCGCTTCCCATTAAATTATGTGATAATTATCATCAAATCTTTCACTTCCATTTCTGTCTTAATTCGAATAAAATAAATATTTAATTCATTACATCAAACTGCTTAATCATCGATGTTTTAAATCAGAATATTAAAAGTCAACGAAAATAAAATTTCTTCATAGATTTAATTTATGTATTGTAAAAGCAGATAAATCAAGGCAATTAATAATAATGAATTTAACAGGTTTAGATAAAAAGAAACCGGAAATTATAAGAGAAGGAAATTTTGAAAAATTAGATTTAGATCCAACGAGTAACATACAGAAATTATTGAAGAAAATTGTAGGAAAATTAATAAAAGAAGGAATTATTTCAATTACTGAAAGTAAAGAACTATTACCAGGAGAAAATGTGAGAATGCCAAGTTAAATGTTCGTATAAAGACACATAAACAAAATAAATGCAGACCTATAGTAGACTTTAAGATGACGTTGTTATATAATTTACAGATATTTATAAAGAAATCCTTACAGGTTATATTAAACTCTGAATTTAGTATAAAAAATACTGATAGTTTAATTTCAAGATTAGAAGCAGGAAGAATTTTGCCAGAGTACCGTTTAATGAGTATAGATATAGTGTCAATGTATCCATCGATTACAAAAGAAATGATTATACAGAGTTTAAGTGAGTATAACACCCCTTCAGATTTAATATCATTAATAACATTTGTATTGGAAAACAATTTCTTTGCAGTTAAAGGCGAGTACTTTCGACAAAAGGATGGAATATCCATGGGCTCGGTGGTCGGCCCAAAGCTGGCAGAGATTGTTATGAAAAATATAGATAAAACGTTGCTGAACTTAGGTGGAATAGTTTTTCTGGCACGGTATGTCGATGATATATTTATTATTTATAATAGTAAAATAACATCACCAGAAAAAATCTTAAAAGAAGCTAATGAAATTAATGAACATATTAAGTTCACCTATGAGTGTGAAAAATTAGATAGTCTAAATTATTTGGATATCACAATAACCAGGTTTAAAGATCATTTGGAGTATAGTAGGTATGAAAAACCTTGTAACACAAATAAAGTTATAAATTTTAGATCGTATTGTCCAATTAATCAAAAAAGAAATATTTATTTAATGGAAGTAAAAAAGATATTTTCTAGAACAACCAGAAGTGAAAAAAGAATAGAAGAACTCAAAAAAATAAATAAGAAGTACTTGTTGAACAATTATCCGAAAAGATTGCTGAGGAACTGGTATGATGAATATTCAAAAAGAAGATTTCAAGTAAAGCAACAAAAAGAAAGTAAAAAGTATGTTTCTTTTCCATATATCCAAGGTATTTTTGAAAAATATAAAAAAATTTTCTGTAAAAACTTAATACAATTGGCTCCATTGCAAAAAAATAGATTATCTGAATTAATTAGAACTGAACCTTACAGAAAGAAAGATTTATTGGAAGAAGATGGAGTGGTTTACAGGCTTCAATGTACGTGTGGAGTACCGTATTACTACGTTGGAGAAACGAAACGGAAACTAAAAGTGAGGATGTCGGAACACTTGGCAGCAGTACGAAATAAAATTAATACATCCCCGGTATTTTTGCATTGNGCTATTCAAATATTTTACGTTTTTGATACTAAATTAACATCTGAAGTATAATTTTTTATTGTTTTTATATTTTTCAATATATTTATTTTGTTTGTACAAAATAAAAAAATAATTTTTAACGATGTAATAGTCTTTGTTAGGCTTAACATCGACGAAAATTCAACGCGAAGCGACACGCAATGGAGAAATATTCCAACATCGGATACGTTAAACTATTTTTTCGTACATAAATCGGTTATCCGAAATATCAGTTATCCGGACAATCCTAGTCCCCAATTGATTCGGAAAATCGACGCTCTACTGTATTTAAAAAGACGATTTCAAGTAAAGAAAAAGCAGGAAAGTAAAAAGTATGTTTCTTTTCCGTATATCAAAGGTATTTTTGAAAAATATAAAAAAAATTTTTTGTGAAAACTTAATACAATTGGCTCCATTGCAAAAAATAGATTATCTAAATTAATTAGAACTGAACTTTAGAGAAAAAAAGATTTATTGGAAGAAGAAGGAGTGGTTTATAGGCTTCAATGTACGTGTGGAGTACCGTATTATTACGTTGGAGAAACGAAGCGGAAACTAAAAGTGAGGATGTCGGAACATTTGGCAGCAGTACGAAATAAAATGAATACATCCCCGGTATTTTTGCATTGTCACGTGAACAACTGTCAATTTGATATTAATAATGTAAAAATAATACATAAAGAGAAAAATATTGTAAAGAGAAAATTCAAAGAACATTTCGCGATAATTATGCAAAGTAATGTAATGAATTTGAATAATGAGGTGATGCCAGCGGAATGCTGGGAAGAATTGGTGTTATTTAAGGATTGTAAACGCGATGGTAACAGTGAGAAAGATGTGTCTTTCCTTGATGTTGAAGTGTTTTCCGCTGTGTTTACGACGGAGAAAAATGTGTCGTCTGAAATATCTGCTTCTGTTCCTATTGTACATTCTAATTGTCAGAAACCCTACTGAAGAGGCCTTGACAGGCGAAATGCATTTGGGGTGAAGTATATTTATATAAAAATAAAGGTATTTTTCTTTGTTAACCTGTTTACCTTTTTTACTTTTTTATACCAGTCTACAGACTCGGGATTTATTAAGCTTCCAAAAGTCAGAAACGGATGGAAAACTAGTGGTTTTCCGTGTACTAATGAATAGTACAACACGGTAAAAAATTAATTAATTAATTTAAGTATTTGTTTCGATTATCCGGATTTTTCCTTATCCGGACTACCTTCATCCCCAATTAGTCCGGATAATCGAGGTTCTACTGTACTTTGTAATATATACCTGTAAAACAAAAACAACACAGTGATCTGTATTACTTAACATGATTATGCGCTGTATTATGAACATTATTTTACTTTGTTGGAATTAATATTTATGATTGTAATGTCTTTTGTTGCGTGCCCATACACACAGGTCTTTCCTTTTACTAAACAAACAACAACATGATGTCAACATGTATTTTCTAGGGTTTCTCAAACGGGATCCCGGGATCCCGGTTGTTTTTTTAACCCGGGAAATTTTTATTATCCCGGGAGATCCCGCAAATTTCTTAAAAATTCACTTTTTTTCTTATTTTGTGTTAAGGTTGAGGAATTTTGCAAATAGAAAGCATAATTAACTCATTCACTGTCAGAATACATTTGTATTTATTAATTTTAAACCTACCTATTAGTTTTTTTAAATTTTTGCTCGTTATAGCATGTCACAAATGGTCAATAATCAATATATAGCTTATTTGTGGCAGGACTATAAAAATTCTTTACTTGTCGGAACCTGTAATATCTGGAATAATTGTGCTTACGCTGTCTTGAGTTTTAACCATGCCCAGTAGCTTCAATAAATGCCTGACGCCAGATTGTGCAAATTGGGCAAGGATACAAACGAGTACAAAGTCTGCAAGTATGAAGTTTTTCTTCATAAACCTGATTATTAAAGCCAAATGAATTGCCGAATTATCGAGCTCTAAGCTTGATGCCGCTATTAAAGCAGCCAAGGTAGACAAATCAAGAATACTAGAGAGCGAAAGAAGTACTACAATCTCGAAAACGAACTCGAAAGCTTCCAGGCTACAGGTGAAAAAACACATAATATCTGTCTTCTCTTAAATGCATTAAACACTATTCCAATCACATCAATTGAATCGGAAAGGGCATTCTCGGTGGCAAGACTTTTCATTACTAAAATAAGAATTAGAGTGAGTTATCGGAGTATTGACCATCTTTGCTTTTTAAAATCTTATAAAAGTTTGCAATATTTTGTATTATATTTTATTTAAAAAACGAAAATTACCTTCTAAATTAGAAGTTCATTTTTTTAATTTTTAACTCAATTCAAAAAATTTTTTTTTGTTGTTGTTGTATGCAGTTTCCAGCAAACTTTAATTAATTTTTTTCTATTTGTGAAAATTTCTACGTTATTTAAAGGTAATTTTTATTATAGGCCTATAGACCTTACACAGCATTATTAATATGATTTTGGAGGTTACAGAACTTTAAAATTACTTTAAAAAATGGAAAATAATTATATCATTTGATTTCAAGATATTTTGTATACCTTAAAAATAATTAATTCTATCCCGGGATCCCGGGAAACAGTTCACTTTTATCCCGGGATCCCGGGACAAGCAAAAGACCGGGAAATGAGAAACCCTAGTATTTTCCATAATGACGTTGCATTGAACGATTCAAAAGGTAAATCAAAACCTCTCAGTCATTTGTTATTCAAATATGACTGTAATCATTTTACTTCTTCTAACGAAGCTTATTTGTTTCTTAATTACAATAAGAAAACTCAATCTTACAATTCGACAACACTTTATTGTCATAACTACATAAATTACATAAAACAAATATTTAAATCAGATTACACGTTTTGAAACAACGTTCAATAAAATAAATATTAGAAAAATTCAAAAAATATTCAAAATTCGAAAATGGGCTATAGGAATATTTATTCGAAAGGTGTTTCCTGTGATAACTTGAAAATTGTCTTGAAAATTTAGTTTGTCTTTTGGCCTGTGTGAATGCGAAGATGAACTATTAAAATATCTTTCCTCGAAAATTTCCGTTTGCAGTGATCACAAGCAAATGGCTTTTCGCCAGTGTGAATGCGAAGATGAGTTACTAGATTTTGTCTTTGTCTAAAGCTCCGTTTGCAATGGTCGCAGGTAAAAGGTTTCTCTCCAGAATGAATCCTAACGTGCTGTCGTAAATTAGACTTATCACTGAATCTTCGAGCGCAGAACTGACAAGGAAATGGCTTTTCTCCCGTGTGAATCCTGCGATGACGTTCTAATTTGGACTTGACACGGAATTCTTTTCCACAATCTTCACAACGAAGTTTCTTTGCATTTTCATGCATAAAATCTATAGAAAAGTCAAACGATGTTAAATCTGAATTTAAACATCGAACATAAATCAATAAATAGAACCACAAATGCAGAAAATATTTTCTACTTATTGGCTATATCTTAAAAATAAATCTATATTTAATCTAAAATAAATCCAATTTCAAAACACTCATTTATCGTAAAATACAGAAAAGAACCGTTTATAACAATTTCTTCGTTTCTTTCGGACCCGACAAAATTTATTCAAGGTTTATTTACAAAACATTTTTCTCGATAAATTTATCACAAGGAAAGTTTTTCCGATTTTTAAATCCATTTTCTGAGTAGGTGATGTTCACTTCTTTCTTCGAAACTTTCAGATTTTATCCGTAATTCTTCGGGGAAAACGTTGGACTCCTCCAAAGTATATCTTACAAGAAAAAACGTAAATATCAAACATTGTATAATAAAACTTTAATTTTTATTATTAATTTGTTACTTAAAAGAAATGTGACAAACTTTTATATTACAGTAGAACCTCGAAAACTCGACCTAATGTGGACCGAAGGGTGGCCGAGTTTGTGAAAATGCCGAGTTATCGGGAATGGGGTTAAAAAAAATAAGTACGAGTATTTCCTCAGAAAATACTGTACTGTACTTGTACAGTATTTACTTGTACAGAATATAACAGAGAATAAACTGCCCAAATACCCTTAAACAAAGGAAAAGTACGTCCTTTATGAAGGCATAGAGCCACTACATGAAAATGAAAATTAATGAATACACTGTGTACAGTAATTTACCTGATAAGACAGACCTCAGAAAAATACTTTATGAGAGCTTTTATACTTTTATAAAGCTCTCTATAATGAAAATTAATTAACTAAGGATTTTTTCGCCCTGCCAAGGTGTGGACCAGTTATCCGGAGTGCTAAGTTATCGAAGGACGACTTTTCGAGGTTCTACTGTATCAGACACATAAATTTTAAATATACATACGACCTTTCGGGATACTTAAGGGGAGAACTGGAAAATCTAAAAAATAAACCAGATATATTAATGACCCATAAAGTGATACAACCTCCGAGTATTTTCCTTCTCTTAACATTAAACAGAAATAATGCGCCTTGTTTGAGTGGTAAGAGAATTTACGTCTAATGGCAGACAAAAATTGACCTAAAACCTTTCAGTCGAGTTCTTCGACGTGCTACGGGAATAAATGAAATTGTATCGCTTTTTAAATATAATAAAATATTCATTAATTTCACGGAACCCTTTTATATTTTAAGTGCTTTATCGAATTAAATCTTAAAAATATCCTAATTGTTTAATCTGTTTAAGTATTTACTCGGAGATTCCAATTGAAACGTTCGTCTCACCTCATATCGTTGTCGGCATTTCTCTTTCTTGCAACAATGTTACGTGTAGATATGTAAATGAGGGGAGTGTCTCCAGTAGAACTGTGACGTCACCTCAGACTATAAGTACAGTAACTGAAGTGAAGACAGACGAGGTGAGCTCCTGAACCGAAAGCGTTGGTCTGCTGGTAGCAGTGAAAAGGTGTCGAATAGGAAATCCTAGTAGGAGATTGAAGGTTCGATTTTGACGATAGGAAAAGAGGAGAGAGTTGCGTGGAGGAAAAAAGTTCCGAGTATTAATTGAGGTGACGGTTAGGATCGATAGTTATAAGAGAATTTGTAACTAAGTTAAGATTGAATTTTGTTTTGTCGGAATTCCAAGGGGAATAGTTTCTAAGTTAGAATAAGACTTAAGTTTGTCGGGTTGATTGTGATTTGATTTCTTATTTAATAAATTTGTTGTTTGTTTCTAAAACTTGTACATAGTATTTGTTAGACTTGATTAAACATTTATTATTGAGAGATTTTTTTGTGACTAACTTTGTCCTTACTTTATTTCGGTGCACGCGAAAAGTCCAGGCCTGGCAACTAACAAACGCGAACCCGCGTAAAGTACCCGTTAGGTCCCGGCTCT